TGCTAATACATCCAAGGGCATCTTTCACCAATTTGAAGTTCAACCTGTAAATTTCCAATCTATTTACTCTGAGGATCAAAACTATTTTAAAATATTTTATAAACTATTAAATAATATTAAAATACGTGGGCCAGTGGAGGAATTTCTTTATTAAGGAGGAGTTTTTGCTACGCGCTTTTTATGTTTTCGAAGGACAAAACAGTGGACACTGGCTCAGATGAGACATGACACACCGTTTGACCTGACCCGGAGACACAGTTCCTATTCGGTCTCACGTTTTTGCCTCTAATCCCGTTGTTCCTGTAATAACCGTTTACGCACAGACAATGATCAGCCATGCAAACAAAAAACGCGATGCAGATACACACAATTAAATTAAATTAATTCAAAAATTTAAGCTCCAAATCAGTCATAATGTTGATTAGTCCTTTGTTGGACGAATTATAGATTTGTGGTAAATCTTGCGATCAACATTTTGTAGAAGAATAAAAGGTTACAATATACGTTCCTAAAAAAAGGTAATTTTGGGCTCGTGAAATCTCGTTATGGCTCAGCTCCATCTTCACCTATGATCACTTCCGGTTTAATTTCATCCACTGACAGACAACAGTTACGTGAGAACAATCATATCCAAAAAACCTGATTTATATGTGACTTTGTTGAAAGGTCAAATATTTAGTAATCAATGCATATATAATGGCATTAATAGACGATGTAGTCAGTGCTCTATTCAGTTATGAAAGAAAATTCCAAGGGCAATACCGATGGTCGAACCCACGACCACAGTTACGTGAGAACAACGATCATCAACAAAAACCTTTGGCAGTAACTGATTTGTTGAAAGGTCAAATATTTAGATAATAAAACAATACATAACGGCATTAATAGACGATGTTCTCAGTACATGCTCTAGTCAGTTGTGAAAGAAAATCCCAAAGACAACGTCGGTAGTTGAACCAATCCCACAAAGGAGTTGGCGTCCATGGCCTTTTTTATTTGGAAGGAATACTTTTTTTTTTTGCGAAATTTACAGTTGTGTTCTACGGAATGAGGAACTACTTCGTCTTATGATTTCGGAAAATTTTGGTCTGCCTGTATTTATTATTTTACTCTGACAGACATGTTCCTGCTTTTCACCATTATCAATTTTGGATGGTTATCATCGAGTTGATCAAAGTGTGTTTTCTGTAGCGTTAGGTAAGACAAAAACGTACTATTGATGATGGCCGAAGAGCCGAAACGTATGTCTGACCAAAATAGGCAGTTTGAAATATTCGGATTCGACAAACTATGACAAAGTTGTCTGCTGTCATTTGTATCGTGTTAATAACTACATCAAATTTAATAATTTAACCAAGCAAGTTTGTAGATTGATTTCTATTTATCCCGGTAAGGATAGGTTTTGAAAAACTACCACTGATGATGGAAAAATCTGAAAATCGTTTGACAAACGAAATCAGCGAGACTAGACAGGGGACATCAACACTGAAGACAATAGATAGTAAATTTAATAAGGAAGATTAACTTAATCCTTTTAGCTTTATTATCTAGCATTTGAACGCGCTTTCCAATTTTGAGCTCGTCCGCCGAGTTTGAAAATGACACGTTTTGAAGGAACTTGTGAAGTTACGTCAAAAGGGATCACGCTTTGGTTGACAGCCGGCTTGCAATTACGGCATTTTTCCGGGGTGCATGCGGAAAAGTGCAACTAAAGAAAAGCTGTCTTTATATTTAAGTAGATTATCGAGCTAAAACACTTTTGTTATCTAAGAAACTTTTTGAAATAGCTTATTTTATTAATTTCTCCAATTAGTCAATTTGACCGTAGTTAGGACATTGAATTTACTGTTATAATTTGATGAACTTTATTGCAATTATTTTGCCGTGATGTTTCCGGATTTTTTTTTACAAATCCAAGACGCAATGGTAAGTCAATTCTAGCTAACGGCATCGGTCGAAATGATCCAAAATCGGACCAGCTGACGGCTACCCGGGTGATTCTGAAAGGCGTGCGGACCGTTATCTAATGAGTCTTGATACGCCAGGTTCAAGTGTAAACTTAATTAACGATTGAATCGTAGTGAGTCAGAATAAGTGTGCCATAAGGTGTAGGTGCCCGGCCATAAGAAAGCAACCTTATAACGGTCCTCTTGCGTAGGTGGGTTCCGTCCTATTTATATCTTGTCCATTAAAAACAAAATGTACGGTCACCGTTTTCTGCCATTGTGCATTGAAGTAAGACAACAGAATTGGGACAGACAATGTAAACTATAATCAAGTTCGAGCCAAGTTTATTTTACGAATCTTCTATAAAACTAAATTTTATATTTACGTTAGTGTGTGACGTCTGTGGCATTTATAACAGGTGTAGTATGTTCGTTTTCTCATCCACAATAATAGTGTTTTGTGGCCTGTGCTGATATCCTGTCCCGAAAATCGCGTCTCGGAATGCGGTGGAGATTTTTTTCCTCCTAGGGGTAAAAAGCAATTAGGTTTCACCTGCTATTAGATATGCCCCAAATCTGACCTGGATACGGGGAGTGGTGGGAAAAGCTTTTAAAATCTCGACCGCAAAGGATCTATCCTTTACCAATTTTCAGAACGTATCTGTCCCACTAAAAAAGAGATGTGATTCCGACGACGGTAATCTTTTAAAGTTTTTTTCCTCTCTCAAATTAAAAAGGATGTTATCTGTAACGGTCGTGGACTTGACATTATAGTTTACGTAACCCACTCGACAACGGCTACACTCGTCCGGACGAGTCGTTCTTCGGGAATTCGTATACCGTTACCAGAGCGAAAGTTATACCGCGAACGTCGTTTAAATCCCCTGGGGGATAAGCCGTTTGTATCAGAATCCAAAACTTTTATTATAGTACCTACCTTATAATAACCTAACTGCCTTAATAAATATGGCGGTTTTTAAGGTTTCGCTTGTCAGTAGGAGGAATGAGGATTCTAGTTGTACCGATGGTGTTGATGTGTTCACTCTTGCATTACTGAATTCCATGATTAACCTTGTACAAGGAAAGAGAAGGACAGGAAGTGGGCAATGAACTTTCGACAAGTGGGGTGTGATGGAAGCATTGTAAACAAACTTGCCAGATATAAATATTTAAATAGGAAACAAAGAAGATGTGAAGATCTAGAAGGATCGTCAACCGGCTTTGGCCATGGAAGGAAAGAGGGCTAGCGGTTGGATGCAAACCAGCCGGCGGTGGCCTCCCAGCTCGTCGGGTACTGTTAGGTCGAGTGACCTTGAAAAGGGTCAAGGCTGCAGCAGACCACCAATCCGTATTTTAAAATTGATAATTGTGTGCTATTCGGGCCCAACGGAACCATGAATTATGCTGATTTTAAACACGGTATAATCTATTGTAATAGAATAAATTGTTATAACTAATATTTATTATAAATGACCTTTTTAAAGCATCAGGTGAATTTTTTGATATTGAGATGTAAAGTAAAATAACGCAGTTTTCTCACAATTTATGATCGATTTTGATTCTGGTAGTTGCTGCAAAGTTTGTTGAAGATTCATTACCTTTTTTAGCAAAAGAACATTGAATATATCAGACCTTTAATTAATTTTAATTCAATAATGTAACTTGAAGTTTTCAAACGTAAAAGTGATATTAGTTGACTTCAAAAATAGATGTCTAGAAATGTTTTTTTCTTATATTTTCCGAATTGTTAATTTGCAAATACAACCTGAGTTGAGGTGGTTTTACGGATTCAACACCAAAATTGTTAAACCATCCAGAGACTTTCTGTTACAAGTAAGTCATTCCAAGTTCCAAGAAAGAAAGGTAGGGAAAGATACACGCGAAGAATCATAAACAGGAAGTCAGGTGAGAACTCTGAGGTGATTTCCTTAGGAGAAAATGCGGATTTCAGCTGAAACTGTTAGTTTATTCCCGCTGAAATTCAGCTTATTAGGTCGTCTTTTCTGGAAATCACAACCAAATGTTCCGATGTTTTGCATACCTTATTGAATTCCGACGTTTTCCCTCTACAGCTGTGTCGCTTACGGTGGACTTTCGGATGAAGAAGATAAGCGTTTGAAGACAGATGAATTGTTGTGCCAGATTTCGGCACATCCCGAATGTCCAGAGTCTTACACGCATATTCAAACCTATCCTGGCTTTAGACTTTATCTCTTAGGCTCCTTCCTTTAACAATTCATAAATTCTCGCTGACCTGGCTGTGTTCCAGCTACCTCAATCTCCCACTCGTTTCCCAATGACATATATCACCCTCGTCATGAAACCTCCAATTTGACCGGTCCTTCCTACCTCGAGCCATAAATCTCTGAAATTACATTCTTTTGCCAATCCGCAAAGCCTACTCTCTCATCTCTTTGAAATCCCTCCTACAACCAGCACCTCATCTCCCTCCAAACTGAGACAACATACTCTAACAATATTATTAGGCCCATAAGTCACATAAGAAAGCTTTTTCCTTCATTTTCTCAACTTTTAAGTTCACATTTTGTGATTATGTTAGCACAAGACTGGGGATTATTTAATTATTTTTTCCCTCTAAATTCTAATTGTTGGTAGTATTTTTTAATATTTTATGAAGTAATTTATACGATTTTTTCCCATATTAATTAACTATATTTTAACGTCCCACCTTCATTAATTCAAGGGCCAGATTTTGAAAAATTCCTGACCTTATTGTTATTCTTAACAGACACTCGTCGCAGAATAAAGTACATTCATTCTTTCTCTCTCTCTCTCTCTCTCTCTCCCTCTCTCTCTTTCATTCTCTCTATCTCTCTCTCTGTCAGCCTATCTCTCTGTCTCTTTATTTGTCTGTCTGCCTCTCTCTCTCTCTCTCTCTCTCTCTCTCTCTCTCTCTCTCCCTCCTGCACAGTTTTATGATAGCAAATTATTTTTCACATTATGTTAATTTATGTTAGCAAATATGTTTTATTCGTGTTTTTGTTGTATTGAAAAAATGGACGAGTTTTAATATAGTTTTTCTTTAATTTTCAGGAGTTGGTGTGGAAATGCTAAGTAGGGAGTGGACGGGGAAGTTAGCCGCGACTTTCCTAGTCAGCTTACTAGGAGTCGCGGCTTTGCCCAGCCCTTGTAAGTGTTTTTCTTAATAATTATAAAACATAATTTTAACAATAAAAAGTTTAAACTTAACCATATAAAAGCCGGTTGTTTTATTAGCAGACAGGTTTTCATGTCAAACTTATATTCTATGAACTACTGCTTTTTAATAAGAATACCATAGACTTAAAAAATGGTAAATTCATAATATTGGTTGTTATAATTTCAATTGCCTTATATCAGAAGTGTTAAGCAAATTAAAAATCACAATTTATTATCATAATTAATTACAGGGGTAATTTCTGAAATTTTTTTTACTAATGACTTACCCTAATGACACTCTCTCACGGCCATTTATTATCACGGCTATATATCATACCAAATCTACCTACGATATAATGTATGATTTTTTAAATAATAATTATATTGTTGTCACGATCTCTGAATAATTAATATTTATATTGTTTTTTTTTAGTATTTGAGCCTTGAAAATAATTAATTATAGTTGCGAGAGAAAACAGAAAATCTTTATTTGAGTTCATTCTTTACATATTTGCTTTAATTTTGTTATTCACGATTTATATCTTTATGATAAATGCATGCATAAAATAACTGGATAGTTAAGACGGTATATAAACCTTACATGAGAGTTTTAAAATTCATAATAAATAGATGTATGATTGATCAGAGATGAAGTAATTTTACAAAGCTTTCTCATATCTACACACATTAAGACAGAATTTTTTTTTGTGTGTTACACGTGAAAAGTTGTGATGTTGATAGATCAACGTTTTTAGTTGGGATGCAAACAAGGAGTCTAACGGTGAGGCGTACGCGCCCGTCATTCTTTTTTAACCGTCATACCTGACATGTCATTGCACCCGGTCCACTCTTCGGCCTCTTCGACACCAAAGCACGAACCTTAGAAAATACTCGATTCTTTTTTAATTTGATAATTTTTTATTGAGTAAAGTGTGAAATGCTAAAATACTCGAGATTTTTTTTCTACTTTACTAATGTTCTTGTTGTTGATTACAGATGCTGGTTTTGCATTAGAGGATATTAGGAGGCCAATTTATCGAGGAAATGACAGGTATAAACGTATTTATTATAATAAAACTGTGAGCCCTTCATCTGGAATTCCCCCGTTTAAAAGTTTTAGTAATAATTTCGTTAGTTATAAGAAAACGCCATATATTGTTGTGATGGGTAATATTTACAATCGTTTGAGGGTTAGACGAAGCGATCACGCATACGTCGATAATGTCTTAACTTGGTTGTCTAAGAACAGAACTGACAAATCAAAAGTTAACAGTGACGAAATATGGTCTTTAGTTCCTTTAGTGTCGTCCTTAACGAATCACAGCCGGACGAAGGACATGGTGAAGCAGTTCTTGACCAATTCTTTGCAGCATTTGAAGAGCGATAAAGTTCAAGAAGATAAAGTTCACGTTGAAGATGCGGGCGATAAAGAATCGTTGGACAATTTGATCTTGTCGCACACGAGTGGTCCTAGACCTATTCAGATGGTGCCTCAAGGTAGCCCTTCTAAATGGCTGGACACGGTAAACATGAACACATCGGTGATATTGGTAGAAGACGTTCACCCGTCAAAACTACCGAAACCGCCGTGGCATTCGTGGCATCATAACAATCGGCCGTCGTCATCGCCTCCTATGATCGTTACATACAGACCTGAAACTTCTTCTGGTTGGTCTTCGAACAATGTCGAATATAGCCCTGTGCAAATTGTGACGAAACCTGTCACGAGCAGACCGAAACCTGTTACTATAAAGCCGGTTTATGAGTATGATCCGCTACCCGAACCGCCTAAAAGGCCTCCTCAAAACGGCCCTAGTTCTCCTAAACCTCAATTCAATTATCCAAAGCCTGTAACACAAAAACCGATATTTCAAAACCCAGCCCCGACTTTGCCACCGGTCGTAAAACCGGATATTCACAAACCATCAGGAGTAATTCACAATTTCCCTACCGCATTCGTTTCCAATTTTCATCACGAGCCGACCTATATGACAAGCTCGAGTCCGAGACCTCCGAGTAAACCTAGTATAATTATTTTAGACGTATCTACTCCTCCCACTACTGTAGGTCACAACCCTTACAGACCACCTTACGTTTCAGGCAAGCCGAAACCTGTTTTTAACGACCCGACGTCGATATATGGGGACGTCGGTGAACACAATTATAAACCGGTGCACATGTATCCGAAACCTCAGCCGAATCCCGAACCCCCTCCTTACAAGCCTCACAATCACGTTGTAAAGCCCGTTCACAGTATTCTGCCGTCTGAACCCTTAAAACCCATCCGACCGACTATAATTACTTCCCACGGTGTTTTGACGACGACCCCATCTAGACCGCCTCCGCCGAGCATCGTCATTATAGACAGCGGCTATCCTACTCATTCTACGCCAACGGACAATTGCGGCACAGTGCAGGTAGTGAGCAATGCAAAAAGTACTACAGATCAAATGAGTGAAAAAGCCTGTTCCGATGTGTTGGTCTTTCTGAATTCTCCGGTAGCTGTAGGAACCGGAACAGTGACGAGCAGTAGCGGTGGTGGAGCAGGAGGATCTCTCTCTGGTGGTGTCGGGGGAGCTGCAGCAGCCGGAGCGGCAGGCGCTGCTGGGGCTGCTGGGACTGCAGGGGCTGCTGGAGCTGCTGGAGCTGCAGGGGCTGCTGGAGTTGCTGGGGCTGCAGTTGCTGCGCCGTCCGAAGGTGCAGGAGCAGGAGCTGCTGATGGTGGAGTTCTTTATGGTCCCCCAGTTTCGGCAGACCCAGTCCATTCGGTAGGCGGTGTAAATCCGTCTCTGCATCCGCTGGACGACGACGACGACGAAGATGACTACGATTACGATATCAACTCGACGGCCCCGTCGCCTCCGCCTCCACCACCGAAACCTACGCACAGACCGAATCATCATCTTTTTTTTCATACTTCTCATAATTTTTTCAACGACATGATTTTCACAGCAGCACACACGATTCCGTTCTTAGGGCCTCTCAGTGTCTCGCTTTGGATTATTTTGCTCGGGCCGATGGTGTTCATTCTTTTAGGAGCTTTGGGAATCGGAGCTTTGCTGTTGCCATGGATTGTTCCTAAGACTGTTGTAGGTAAACGTAGACGACGATCGGCCCGCTACGAAACTCGATTCTCCGATTCGGCCATACTGTTTGAAAGGAACTTGAAATTAGGATATTTTAACAAATACAACTGAGTTATGTTTGTAACTAACTTGAAAGCTTCAAGCTTACCTCGATAAATGAGGAAGCAAACATGTTCCTATTTCAATGAAAACATTAACAACCAAAAATACTTCAAATGTATCTGATTTAGATGACTTCAGACAATATACTTTTTCTTAACTAACAAATTTCTTTTCTATAATTTCTATCCTTCTTTACCTTTCTATTAAAAAATTACTGGCAATTTCTTTACGTCTGTCTTCTTTGAACTTATTTACCATTAGGTATAAATAATAATTTTGAAAGAATGATCGATTTTTGCTCTCCTCTATTTCGTGCCAAGACAGCAACATTTAATTTTCCAAACTTATAACATATTAAATAATGAGTCATTATGTAAATTACAGTTATTTAAATGCGTAAAGACAAAAGTTATTTTGTATATTGTATGTAATTATTCACTGATGTGTTAATCTTTTTTTTTTCAATGATTATTTCAATTTTGTCTAGATTTAGTTGAGAATTATAGTTTTGAGAAAAGTAGAAAGGTTAGACAAACATTTAATTAAATTGCCATCATTGCCAAATTTAAATAGAAGAAATATAAGATTAAATAGTATATATGATAACATAATAGTAGAAACATTAGCTATAAATATTGTTGTCAGTGGTTAAAATGTTGTACTTTATGAGTACAGATCATAATATCTAGCAAGTGCTATATTATTTTGTAATAATGGCTCAAACCGATTTTGTATGCAACTACTTATGCTTTCAATACTTGCATATTGTAAATATTGATTTTATAATTGTAAGAATTCAAGAATAAAATTCTTCACGAGTTTTTTCAAAGGTAATGATAAAACGTCAAAATTTTGCTTCTAATGATATATGTGAATATTTTATCAATAATGATTATGCAAATGACGGATTTTTAACTTTTGTTTTACTTATTTTAGGACCAGAGATCTTAAGAACGAGAGCAGGATCGTCGAGAGAGGTGAGGTCGCTGCAGCGTTGGGCGCTGAGGACGGGCGAGCAGTCAGCGCTGTTAATCCTGCGACGACAGCAGCTCCGATCGGCGAATCGTTCAAGACTGTGACGAAACAGTTGTTACAGGCTCCCAGTGCGACGGACATGGTCGCAACAGATGTACGCACACCTCCGAGGGTGAAATCTCAGCATAAGATCGCTCAGGAAGCCAACCCTGGTTTCGTCTCCCACGGTAAAGGCGAGGCTTCCCCCGTTGCCATGGAGGAGTCTTCCGCTTACGAGGTCGTGACAGCGTCTTCTCCCAAGCCGTCGACCCAATCCCCAGGAGGAATTTCCACTTGGATTTTATTGAGCAACGGAGAACAAAGCACGATTGCTTCGAATAAGAAGAAACCTGCTGTACTTCCAACGGCAGATCCTAAAAAATCCACATCTTCAATGCCCGAAAAATTAACAAAGAAAGAAGATAACACTGTACCGAAACCGCAGGTCAAGCCGAGCTTACAGATGAAAAGGCAAAACACGACAAAAGAGAGCCCGTCGAAAGCGTCGCCTATAGTTCTTCAAGATTCGAAATTCAAGAATAGAACCCCCGTTGTGGTGGGCAGAGTACCGGCTCCACAGAACAAAACGGAAACATACAAAAAACCCAACAGTGGACCGCCTGCGGTGAACTCGACTTTGACCACTACTCCGACTCCGAAGAAAAAGCCTATGACTGTTAGCCCTACGTCTCCGACCAAGTACGTTCCTGATATCGTACCGACGACGTCTCTTGTAGTCGAGAGCGATCCGATCGGTGCCCTGGAAGAGACTACGACTACTGAAACCCCGAACACGACTAAAAGAACGAGAAGACCTTCGAATAAAAAGAAGAAGAAAAACAAAAATCGCCGACGCAGACCGTCTAATCCCGGTAGTGAGACAGCCGAAAGCAAAATCCAGGAAACGTCGGTTGCATCCAATAAAATAGAAACGAACAGACCTATTTCTACTAGGATTTATAACTACCTGGCAAGAGAAGTGATGCCGAGCGTCGGCGTCGGAATAGTGGGCTTAGTGCTTACAGCGGGTCTCGCCGGCTTATTTTTGTATCCTTTCGGGGGAGGAATAGCAAGAAGAAATTATGATAAAGGAACCGGGAGCATGAACGATCATCACATGTATTATTACAACAATTACGCGCCTCCCGAAAAGGAGTCGTCAAACGCTCAACCCGAAGAAAAGGTATTCGGTCAGGTTTTGACCAGCATGAGCCAAAACGCTTACAGCACCCCGTTCGATTCTACTAAATACACGGCCAGTAATAACAAATATCGATATGATTTGCACGACTACAGCGTGGGGAATGTGAACGGTTACGCCGGCAGCAACGATTATTCCACACTGCCAGATTCTGTTAAGAACGGCGATTACTCCTTACCAGATTCGATAAAGACTTCCGATTACGGAGTCCACGACAAAATAACTGGCGACTCTTACAGCTCTGCACTCAGTTCATCTCATGAGCCGGTTAAAACTGCACCTGACTTTTCTAGACCGGACGTCAAAACCTCAGATTACATACCTGAATCTTCCAAATTTTACAGCATGGACCCCGTCAGCTCACACTACAAATTAACAGACACCTCATCGAATGTTGATAAATATCCAAGTTTCACCGAGTACACGTCATACACAAATCCGGAATCTGTCGGAACGAGTAATTATGGAGCTGGCGTTCAACAAAACAAGACAGACGTTCCAGTCGGCGAGGACAAGTCGGACAAAAGCCAACCGCAGTTCTCGGCATTAGTGGGCACTCCTCAGTTCACAAATACTGACTTTGTCAGCTCGATTTCTTTGACGGGGGGTTACGGGACCCAGGATGTCCACCATAGAACTGTCGCTTTGGCATCCGATCACGGCCCGAGAAGCCTCAACAGCGAACCGAAAGAAACACACGAGAAAAATATATCAAAAAGAGATGTTCATGACGATTTTTCTAATGAAATCGACGACTCCGACGACAAACTTTCAAAGAACCCACAAGTCACCACAGCGTCGAATCAGAGCACCAAAACCGATCAGACGACTTTTTCACCCATCTCGACAACCGATCATGACACTCCAACAACTAAAGAACCGGTGGCGACGACAGAAAACGCCGCTGACTCAACCGACACTTCAGAGACGACTGTGAATCCACTGTTTGGCTCTTCGGACGAAACCAATAAATTCGGCGACGTTTCGACAGAACCTCCAATTAGCGACAATGCTCACAACGGCGGCTTTTTGGGATTTTTAGCCAGGTTAGCCCAGCTTAAATTACAACTGGGAATCAGCATACTCAAGACGACTGGGGAAGCCTTCCAGAGGTATTTGAACACCATGGCTAAAAGGATGGAAAACGCAGTTAGGACTATGGAGAAAAAGAGAATGTCATACCAAAATTGGCTACAGCACGATAATAACAAACGGGAAAGGAGAAATGCCTTTTATCAAAAAAGGATATCGAAAAAATACAAACAAAATTAATTTATTCTTATTTATTCATGATTTGCAACTCCAATTTTAATTTGAATCACTTGTAGTCGTTAAAGCTTTTTATGATTTTAAAAGCCATACCTTAACATTTACTGTAAATATATCGGCTTTAGATAATCATAAAGACCTTCAAGATAATATTTACATTCTTGGGACTGATTTAATTGTGGAAAAGTACATCAAGACGTGTCTTCAGGATGAATTCCTCTTCAAATTTAGTCTTATTTGTATAACTGGTATGAGGGGTTCTTGCTGATAGCAATTCTTATCATTCTTTTCAATTTAGTTTTATAAAAACGTTACCTGAAGTCAAGACGTTATTTATTCTCCAATTCATCCTTGAAATTATAATATTGGACACGAGATAAGGGCAAGTTCTCGTGATACAATTTCTGAATGAATCATTGGTCACAAGGAATACATTGGGAAAATTAATTTTAGCAATGACTGAACAATGTTTTTGTGCACACATGGGAAAAATGTTAACTACAATGCACAGTGGATAGCAATGTATATAGCAATTAAGTAATAAAGTTATTTGTACAATTTTGTGCTTTATTCCCTAAAAAATTCCTTAAATTATTAATATTTATGTAATAGTGTACTTGTTTTTTTCAGTTAGTTTATAAAAGATTTTTATATTTTAATAACAATAATAAATGTTGTTTTAACTATACCCACACACATAGTATAATTGTGTAAAGTGAACGAGATATACAGAAATTTAATTTGATGATGTCTTGTATATAGTTGTAGCCTTTATTTTTTCACTTTGTTATTCCAAAACGTTTTGAAATTAGGATTTTTCTCATCTTAAAAATAATGTCTTATCTTTATATTTATGTTTGTTCTTGTACTGATGTTCCAGTAAACGACAATACGTTTATGATTTTTCATGTACACTGAATAAGTTGTCAAGCTTGAAATTAATTGCTTCTAATGTGAGCTTTGTCTGTCATTACATGAATTTGTGTTAATGTGTATGAGTATAATAAGTACAAAAACGAACGAATAACTATTTAAAATATATCACCTATGATGACTACGTCTCTTATCGACCAGTGGTATTTAGTATAAGATGTGGATCTGGTGTATGGTCAAACAGGAACAAAGAACCTGCAACCACTGCCTAGCTTTTGGCCTTTATAAGGTCATTCCTAGGGCGGTATTGCACCTGTGGTTAGTCACATTAATTGACATAGTGTGGTTGTCGGAATTGAAAACTTTTCCAACACATGAATTTTCCATTAAAGGTATTGGTTCTAAAAATGTGAAAATAATAAAGTTGCAACGTAGTTTATTCGGTAGGCCCAGTTATAATCAACACTAATTAACATACTAACAACTGGGCATCCTTATCCTAATATTCAGGATCAGTACCTTTAAAGCAAAATCCTGAGTTGGAACGGTTGTCCATTCCGAAAACCTTCTGGCAACCACACTAAGTCAACTAATTTAACTAACTTGTAAGATGCATTACTGCTTTGAGGCCTTACAAACGCTGAAAGCTTGGCAAGTCATTGCTGTTTTTTGTTTATATTTGACCATTCACCAGGTCCAAATCTCATTTATAATAATACGGACTTCACGGGACAGCCAAGCTTTCCAAACTTAACAAAATCCAATCCTTACAATCCAAAATTCGTAGTACAATAGTTGATGTTCCATTCTACGTCACAAAACATACCATCCACTCCGATCTCAACTTACCATCTACGTCCCGTTACAATAATTTTCACTCCAAACTCTCCTTTCGACGACCTGCTAATTCGCAACCTGTCCAGATCAACACCTCTTTCTAACCCTCGTAGAAGACTGAAGCGCAGATGGCCACGTGACTATCTGATTTTGTAATTCGGCCATTCTAGGGTTCACGACAATGGCCAATTACGGCCAATTTAAGTGGATAGTGGCCTTTCAAATCAATCATACCAGACATGTAAACGTGCAGACAATATTGTGTATGTGCATATGCATTGTAAATAACATAATTTTTCCTTGTTGTATTTTGTAGCAGTTGTAAAATAAATAATTTGTTTAAGTCGTGAGGAACAGTCAAGAATGAGGTAGTTTAGAAAAGCAACCTTTTCATTTTTATGCCGACGTTTCGACCCGTTATTCGCGTCATCTTTAGGGCCTGGGTAAATTGCAAAACATACTGATTGATTGTGACATAAATAAGTAAAAGGGGGAAAAGCATTTTTATTGATGTTTTGGTGCTAGTTGGTTTTATGAATTTCTTAGGGTGATGGATCTACTAGCAGTGGGACTCGAACATTTCTATTTATTTATTTACAGGAACTTCCCCCTATGTTACAGTTTGTTGTCTGATGTCTCGTTCTAAACATATAGCAAACATTTTTTTTAACTGTTTCTTAAAAACGTGCGTACCCACTGCTAGCAGACCCATCAATATCTTCCCAAGAAGTTCATAAGTATTTTCCATAATATGGTTCTTCATTTTTTCTTTGGTTTATGAATGATAGTTTCGATACTGTTTACACAACTGATCTTATTGGATTTAGACAACATGAAAAACATGCTACATTCCAACTTTTGTTTACTTCTATGGCCGTTAAATATTCTTCAATAAGATTTTACCAATCGGTTAAATGAGCCGAAGGCTGCGATTTTCATGATCGGGTTGATATGTGGTATGATTGAAAGTGGCGGAATTACCCATCGTGCAGTCGAGTTGCATTCGAAGTAATTTACCAGTCGCTGTGTGGCACACAATATAAAGAGATGTGGATCCGTTGAAGGCCCACCAAGAAACCTGCCATACCTTTTTGATGAAGGACTATACATTTTGTTATATGTTCTCGAAAATCCAAACTCCTCCCTTCGAAAGATTGGAAGGATTTTGTGTCATGAAGATGTCATCAGATCATACAATTTTAAACTATATCGCTCTCATTTTGTCCACACTGATTTTGATAGACGGTTAATTCCCCTTTCAGATTCATTTTCAGACCACTTTTGGCAGAAAGGTATGGGTTGTAATTAACTAAGTTATGAACACTATAAACATTTTAAAATAAAATCTTAAGAATAGTAAATTTACTAGTTTCGTGGTCCGCTTGACCAATTAATATCTTCCAATTAATTAAGGTTTTCAGTTGAGATAAAAAAGTCAATGGCACGAGCGGGATTCGGATTGAAAAATGGCAAAAAGGAGGGAAATTTCAAAAAGTGTGGTTGAGATGGGAAGTTGGTGTCCGAGTGGATCGAGGTCACGATAGCTCAAGTGGTAGAGCAGCAGCGTATCAAGCCAAAGATCGTAAGTTCGAATCCCGCTCGTGCCATTTTTGTATCTCAACTGAAAACCTTAATTAACTTAAGAATAGTGTTGAAATAGTGTCCAAACTTCACTCGTCATGCTTTGGCTCCTTATACAGACCATGTAGCTACGCCGCCGATTTTAAGAATGGTTCTCGAGCACAGTAACAAGTTCCTGTCCCTTATTCCCTTTATGGGGGCCATGGGTTTTAAAAATTATATATAGATCTTTTTTATGTGTTTTTGGTTATGTGCTTTGTTTGATTGCTTGTATTTATTAGCATGAATAGTGAAATATAGCATTATCATCGCCCCTTCAGTAGTGTATGTGTATTTATAGTCGATGACGGAATATTTATAAAAGTACCTCATAGACCCTAATTTAGATTAGATTATTAATATTGTGTGTAGGTCGACGGAGGAATATAGAGTACTTCACCGACTAATCAGAATGAGTGCAATGTACATAAATGTGAATGTATTTATTTGAGCGGCTGTATTAAAAAAGCTAGTTAGTTTTAGGCTAGATAATAGATGCGTTAGGGACTGAAATGACCTAGCTGTCTAAATTTAACCCCTGGCTTATGTGGGGGTTATGTGAACTCCCCTTAGTTAACCTTAGGGTTAGCACATCATCTGCGAATAAATTCGAAAATCCATCCTTATCAGGCTAAGACATTGATAACGTTAAAGAAAAGTGGTCCCAGAATTGAGCCCTGTGAAACCCCTGTAGTAACAGAAATTGTGGAACTGGGAATGCCTATTTATAAATACTTTTTGAGAGTTCAGAAAGGTATGACTTATGTCAATCCAGGCACCACTTCAACCAAGTCAACCCTTTGGTGTGAAAGTCCAAGTTAGGAGAAAAAATGATTTAGAAAAGTCCTATGGCTATTCTATAAATGTATAAACAAGTCAATACCATTATTTTTGTTATTTACAAGTGTGTTTTATTCCTACACCACTCATAACGCGACCAATTTTTTCTGGGTTTTAAAAAACTTTAATAGCGGCAGTACTGTACATGAAAAACCAGACCATAGGAGAGGAGTGATTCCAAATTACTTGTACACACAGATTTATGAATGTGACATTTGAATTCATCATTATTGCATTGAAAAAAGCAACCCTGTTTAATTATGGCATCATTTATATAACCCTCCCTTGTAAGAATCACTATTCAACAATAAAATTCTTACTGATTCGGCCCAAGAAAAATCCATATTTTAGTATTTAAAGGTAAGTGGTTTTTATCACAGTTAAAGTTCATGAAAACCTTTTTGTAAAATGATTTTCAACCCTTTTGACTGTTTACTTGAATTTAAACGAAGTACAGGCACACTGGTACCCAATGATAGTGGCATCATCTGCGAATAAATTCGAAAATCCATCCTTAACAGGCTAAGTCATTGATAACGTTAAAGAAAAGTGGTTTCAGAATTGAGCCCTGTGAGACCCCTGTAGTAACAGAAATTGTGGAACTGGGAATGCCTATTTATAAATACTTTTTGAGAGTTCAGAAAGGTATGACTTACGTCAATCAAAAGATTCAAGTATTATAATTTATAAGACATGGTTGACATGTTCGAAGAGAAAGTTAGGTCAAGAAAGGTACCTACTACTAAAAGGTTTTTCATTTTTGAACCTTTTATTTTATCAGAAGGCATCCCAAACTGGAATTTTAACAAAATAATCAAACTGTTCTGTGAAGTCTATTAAGAGGTTATATATTAATTTCTCATTGATATTATTAAAAATTGATAACAGGACAATTATTAACAGGGCTTCTTAAGATTCAGATCATGCCTGCTACCATTTTTATAGTGGACGACAGATTCACATATAGAATTTTGTATAAATATTAGGATTTTGGTCAAGTAAAATTTTTCAGAAAAAACTATTAAAATCTAAAAAATTAAAAATTAAGATAATCAATACTTTAAATATATTATAAAGTAACATTTATAAAGACCACAGTACTAAGCAATCTTAATGTGAGCTAAACTTTTAGAATGCGTTTGATTTGGTTTTGTTACCACCTCCATTCAAATTGGATAGTACGTTGTGGTATGGCAATAAGGATCCTAGGATGTTTGTGCTCCCCAGGCACTGCAGCCTACTGTCTTGTACTTTCCTAGTTCCTTAGTTCAGTGCAGTATACTCAATCCTTCTTCTCAGAAGTATCAGGTTATAGACTGTCGCTGCTACAATTTCATTCTGGAGATGTTTTCGTATGCAAGATTAAATCATCATTGAGCGTTGCTTCGGATTCGAAGATGATATGGGTGGCTGTTTCCTCCTCCTCATTGCAGAATCTGCAGATGGGATCATCGTTATACATGCCCATGTTGTGTAGATGTTTTCTCAGATGCCAGGCACCGGTTACTAGACCTATCTCTCCCCTGAGTTTAGTCCTCTCCAATTGCAGCAGTGAGTTTTTGGTCAGGGTTGTTTCATCATAAGATTACTGTATCTAGGGCCGCTAGGCTTTATCCACTTCTCTTCTTGTTTTGTTTGGAACAAATTCTGCGATGGAGGATTCTATATTTATTTTTGTTATCCCAATGTAGGTTCGGGGCCTTCCAGATCCTCTTCTGGCTAGTCTGTCTACTTTTTTGTTACCCGAAATTCCCCTGTGCCCTGGCACCCAAAATATCATCAGGTTGTTGTGTTTCCCCAGATTTTGGATGTATTCACTAATTAATTTTGATATGATTTTTTTTACATGCTAATACATTAAATTGCTTGGCTATCAGATCTTATGAGCATTTTTTTGCCAATGTAAATTCTTTTAACATTTTCCAGGGCACAAGCGTTGATGGCATGTATTTCTGCTTGAAAAACCGAAGTGCACTTCCCTAATGAGTTTGATTGCTCATGTTTTGGGCTTGTACAGAAAATGCGCGATCCGGTTCCTTCGTTTGTTTTGGCGCCATCTGTATACCATTGTGTCTGATGCTCTCCTAGGTCCTTCTTCTTTATGGTCCGTTGAGACTTTACAGGATGTTGCAAAGAATGGTTCCGGCATCATATAGTCAGACCCCGTTCCTATCCAATTTGAGAGTTTTTGGAGCCTAAATGAGCTTTTCCTAGCCTCTCCTCGTATAAACGTGTTTCCAGTGGAAGTAGGTTTAGCACAGTTTCTAGTGCACTTGTAGGTGTTGTTCTCATTGCCCCTGTCGTTGTATGTTGCCTTATGATTGAGTAGCCACTTTGTGTTGAGCTGTGGTCCACCAGATCAATGATCCATAAGTTAATTTGGATAAAAATTAGATGCTTTTTCTATTATTTAAAAAACTTTCAACGATCTTTTTTTTTACTGCCAAGCCTTCTGTAAGTTCAACATTATAAAAATTTACTAAAATATTAGCACTAAATAAGTTAGTGTAACGAAAAGTCTATGTAGTATAAAATGTAACAATATTAAGTATAAAAAACGAACTGAAAACTAAATTAGAAACATCTAACATTAGATCACAGAAGTGTACTGGTAAAACATAAAGATAACAATAAAATCAGACATAATACATTAAATGATGTACGATTTTTTTATGTTTATTAAGAAACTTAAACAAACTAGAAATTTTGAACATAAAAATACAAGAGACATTTATTTAATTCAAGCGCTACCAACAGTCTATCCAGACTAACAGACAATCCGTTGTAATTGGCCACCATAAAATATTTCTGGTTACATATAAAATTCTCTTAATTTAGGGTTTTCTTGTTAATTTGCGACAAAAATTAAATCGACTGGATAATGTGTAAACGTTTATTAAATATATAATAAGTTAATGTCAAAATACAAATGACGATAAAAATTTCTTTTATGTACATCTTTGGCTTAACATAATGATAAGACAAATCCTGAGTGTTATTTTTAAAAAAGTAGAAAAACTTGTACAAAAAAATATTTTAAAAAAATTGTTTATATACAATCTAAAAATAAATATACATTGTTAAAAATTTGTACATTAGCAGTAAAAAAGTTATGTTATGTTAGTCGTTAAATAAATGATTGGGTCTGAAAACGTTGAAGGGATGCTCGATGCTCCTCCTACGTCGTTTTCCGAGGACCATGGGCAGGAGCATGGCCATCGTCGCGGGCACCATCCCGGCCCCGACCGCCGCCAGAACGGCGTTTCCGCGGGCCTGCGACTGCGGAGATCTAATAGGGTAAACCCTGACGGCCGTCCCCGATCTCTTCGCCGCGACTGGGGGTGGCGGGGGCGGCCCGGACGATGTCCTGTTGACAGTTTCTAAGCGCAACATTTTGGCAGCGTGTTCTCTTTGAGCCTCGTCTACCGTCTGAAACGTCTGTTCGACTTCCAGGAGGCCTCCGTGCGAAGTCGTCGTGTTTGTACCGTTCATAGGAGGAAGGACCGTTAACCTAACACTCCTGTGGGATTTTACCGACGGAACTCCGTTTTTCGTGGGCGACTGCGAGTTGATCAAGAGGGCCCGTTGGAAAGCCCTGTTTCTGTGCGGGACTGAGTAACCCTTGGTGCTCGACAAAAGGACCCAGTGTCCGTCCCCTTCTGAAGGGTTGGAATTGGGTTGGTAAGGTTCTTTTCCTTCGTGGTACACAATTTCCGTGTGGGGCCTGTCGTACCAAGTGGGCTTCTTCGGAGGATCGCTGGGGAAATGCGACGGACCCCCGTCTGTTATTATGTCCGAACTGGATCCCCAATTATCGCTCGGCCACCCCGAGGGTTTGCTGCTGAACTTGTTGTCGTTCCAGTTGGACTGGGGTTTGGGGCTCGAAGGGTACTCGTAAGTCGGTTTATTGCTCCACGGTCTGTCTTGCCATTTATTATTAGGTTTATTCCACGGAGGGCTTGACGTTTGCTGTTGGTATTGCTGTTGATATCCGGGTTTTTCCCACTGTGGAGTCTGTGGACGGTTGTTCGGCTCCCATTTCTGCACTTGGCTCGCCGACCAGGGGATAGGTTCGAGAGTCACCCATCCGGTTTTGTCGTCGTAAGGGTGGTTGTGGGCGTGAGCCTGCATCAACTGCCACGATTTCGACTTTTCTTGCGTTTTACCCGACTCTTTAGAACCTTCTAAAACGTTGACGGGCTCGTCCATGTAAAGGTTGGCCAGTTTATTCGTCGGCTGGTCGGGATATTTGCCGTTAGTCTCGACGTACTTTTTAAGAAAGACGTTGAGCTCTTCTTGAGAGTAAGGCCTGAACGTCGGCATCGGTGTCGTCTCCGCGCGGACCGATTCGCATTCCTTCTCGTTCACACAATCTATCCCATAATTCGGAACGTGCAAAGTGCTGTCGGTAGTCGGGTCGCCTGCTGTGATCTCGACGATTTCCCTTTTCCAATAATCTCGGTTTTCAAGCCTATCTGTCGATTTGTTATCACTCGGTTGCACATTGATCAAAATGTGCTCTTTTGGAGATTTATGGGACGAAGGAGGTTTGTAAAGGTGAACAGGCGTCTCAAAGGTTTCAGCAGTGCTTATGGCCAGCTGGATGAGACCAAAAGCAATGCATATTATGCTCAAAATTCCCATTTTTTAATTTTAAATAAGAACTTTATCTCATCACTGGGAATTCACCTAAAACATAAAAAATAATTATTAGATTTGAACATTTTCAATTTATTGATAGTTTACTACAAAAAAAGTTTTCTGTTCTTGATTTAGTTGGATTTCAAGAATTTTTGTTTGTTTTCTGTATGGAAAACACGCATTATTTATTAATTTATTTATAAATTCTTTGACCTTCTTTTAGTAACATTCTCCTCCTTTTCAAATTTATAATCATATAAGTCTAATTGCTACCGTAGGGTATGTACTGTTTTTAAACAAGAGCTTGTCCCATAAACCATAATACAAAGCTTTACGGCTTAATTAACTTGTAGACAATAAGAGAACCGTTTCCGTCGAGTCTGTACTTTACATAGAAACACACGAGATCCGCACAATCTAACAGTGCCATTTTTAAAGTTACGCCTTCACGGCGTGCAAATTCAGTACAACTCGATGTGTAAAAAAAGCAAATTGACACAGTTAGAAAAACAGTGCAAAACGAAGCATGTCATTTTCTATGCAAACAATCGGTGCTTGTGGTAGAGAGAGGGGAGAAAGAAAGTGGCCGGAATGGAAACACTTTCCGCAGATCCACTTTCGGCTGTAATGGTTCGCGGGCTCATTTTCTCGGATGTTTTATGGACCATGAAAAGATTTCTTTATTCCTTTGTTTAACCGCTTATTTTGTCGTTTGCCAAAATTCCCGTTCTGTTAAACAACTTTGAGATATCGTTAAAAAAAGTTCTACAAAAAGAATAACTTTTTAAAGTCTAATATCGACTTTTAAGAATATAAAAATGTAGAAGTTGGTCTATCTCTATTTAACTCCTGCTCCACAAGTTAAACTTACAGAGATCAAGCTGTTCATTTTACATTATTTTGTTCTACAAACATCATTTAATTTTTTTCTCAAAATAATATATTCAATGTACAGCAAATAAATTTATTTTTGTCTTTTTTGTCTTTGTCTATCCAAAATTTAAAAAAAAATAATCCGGGGCGGATACTAAATTTGTCACACAGGGCAGACAGCATGGCTTAGCCTAGGCACAGCGCCGTCTTTCAAACATTCAGTTCTGAAGCATACCTATTTTCTATCTGTAGTACTTCGCTTTAGTTGGAAAAATTATAATTAAAATTATTTAAAAAAACTAAAAAAAGGTAGGTAGTAATAAATAGTTAATATTAAAGTTAATAATAAAATAATTTTTTAAAATCATTTTCGACTTAATAATACTACGAACAAAGGATACATTTGTTTCACATTGTTTGTGGATTATTCGTTAGGTAATTTTTTATGGGCTGGTTGTCAACTGGTCACTTTTCTGGATCCGTCTAATCTCGCTGTCTCATACCGTTTCGGCTTTCTCCGGTCTTCCTAGTTGGAATACTGCCAAAAAACGTATGAAAATAACGTACAGGCTAGTGAGAATAGACGGGCCCAGAAAAGTTAAAACTTTTAGAAGATTTTATAATCTTTAAAACAGATCAAGTTTATACAATTTCTGTTTGTAGTATTTTTTTTCAACTCACTTGAGTCTTCTTTCTTCTTTCTCCTTCAGCACTTACGACCGACACTTCCGCGACGATCTGAAACGAGAGGAAAACAATCAGTCGAAAATATAACATCCGACGGGATGAAGGGGGTGAAAGGAAGTTGAAAATGTTTACATCTATTCATGTATTACGATAAGTGAAGGTTGAAACTAGAATTAAGGCGACTTTCTCCGAAAGGAATATCCAGCAAAAAAAATCCACAACACTTTTACTCGTAACATTGAAATTACTCCCTTTCGAATTTCTAAAAATACGATCCGCAACCGACGTAAAATAAATGGGTCACGGTGGGAAAAACATCCGAAAGAAAGTGATTCGTGGAACCTTGACCTTTCAAAGCGTGAACGGTCCAGGACGGCAACAGCAGCTGCTTTTTTAATCGAAATCGATACAGCTCCTTCATCCAATGTAAATTGTATCTCCGACAAGCACAAAAATTCCACCCAATCAATTTTTTTTAAGAAAAAAATTCTGCTCTTAAATTTTATCATATTTTAACTGTGTTCTATATTGTTTATGCTGTGTTTTTTTTTTGCTTCAACATGTAAAAAATTATTTAATTGTAATTATAGTAATTAAAAGTTATTTAATTGAATTAATCAAACGCGTTTTGCATTTTGCAGCTTCATTGAGAACTGGCTATAGGGTTTGTATGTCCTTGTTTTTAGTTGTTCACATCTATGGAATCTAAATTTTAACAACAACTTACAGAATAAAATAACAACAACAGTATTATCAATATAAGATAATATAGTTTTTTTATATATGTCATTGGGTTTGTCGGTTCAACAAACCTGCGAGTGAAGGCGGACCCAATAAGTGAGCTTATGCCGGTTCAACCTGGGTTGACCGACTCGCATACCAACACTCATCATCTACTCTAAAAATATAAACGTAAAGTGCTAAAGAAAATGACAAAAAAGAAAAACGAACAACTAGAACTAAGAGGAATTTTTAAATTAAAAATTAAACCTGGATGAAAAAACCAGACAATCGATTTGACCAAAACTCTTATGAGGCAATAAAAGTTGAAAAATCAAAACTAAACATAAACAAACAAAAATATAATAAAAAATAAAGATTTAGTGTATTCACCTCTGCATAAATAATCCCAGTTTATCATACAGTATAAACAGTTGTACAGTTAAAAAAAAGATTTTTTGAAAATATTGCAATATTTTGGTTCAATCTGCATTTTTGGTTACAATATGTAATTTTATGATAGATAAACATATTTACAACTAATTACATATTTACATTGATTTTGGATTTATATAGGCTCAAATCCGCACATGTACCAACATATAAACATGTGCCGAGCTGAGCCTATTCGCTTTTTTGTAGTCCACTGGCAATTCCAACTTTTGCTATTTAAGTAAATGACTCGTTAATCGGTGTTGACAGTCTAGAGGCAGAACTCAGTCTTATCAATCCAGCCACAGGAGTTGGGCTCCGGGAGAGGGTGCTGTCAACAGCTAGGGTCAATCCAATGCATGCAGTTCGAAACCCATTCGTACTCATTCTTAAATACTCCAATTTACATACCAGTACACCCTGAGGATCGATGGGTACTCGATATTCCCCCATCGAAACTCCCACATTACATATTCACGCTAATAAGTACATTCACGCTAATAAATACAACTTCCACCTTGAGGGGAGAAAATAATCAATATTATTCTCCCACTTTACTTCACTAAATAAACCTCACGGGCTACTACTCGGAAATGAGGTATGGGGCCATTTCCTCAGGAGACTGCGGTATTGTACGGATGGATTCTGTTGGATAATGCTTGGGCGAGACTATTGGTGTGATGAGATAGATTATCGGGAATTTGGAAATTTTTGGAATTATGTTTTGGATAAATGGGATTTTAAGGTGGTTGTGGAGGTTAGTAAACCTGGAGCATTTATAAATGATCTGAGGACTTTAGACTGATAGGATTGGAGATGTTGGATAGTGAAAGACGGAGTGGTTCCCCATCATTATACCTATGTTCGATTCAGCTGTATCAGCGTTTGGCAGATTGCAAGCTTGTTTTCGTAGGTATCTTGGATTGTAGTTCTAAAAGTTTGTAGAGTAGACAGTAGCATCTGTTTCAGTATGATGATTCTATGTCAAGCATGGTCAAGGTGGAACCAAAGGTAACGAACGCATACTGTAAGAGGAGATTTATTTCGGAGTGGAAATGTCGAGGCAATTGTTTTCATTTATCTTCATTATCCTACAATAATCTGCTATATATTTGATATGTCTCTGCAGATCAGTGTTACAGGGTAGTTAAGCGATGTCATTGGCAAAAGATGCAAGGACGGTTGTAGACCTAGTGGTATAACCTGTGGTATAACAGATATAGAAGATTGGACCGGGCACGTTGCTCTGCTTTATTCCAGCAGAAAGATAGCAGTATTCGGAGTAATCTGATCCTTGTCATACCCGAAAGCACCACTTATTTGATAAAGAGCGGAGTGTCAAATATATGGTATTTGTAAAGACACGCTTTGATTTTTACAGGAGACCTTTGTGCTTTTCTCGGGAGAAAAATCTTTTTGTGTGGAAAATAATCAAGCGGGTGGAATTCTTTTAACCGATGTTGTTGCAATAAAGAAATAAAAACTATCCGGAATTTAAAACTTACTCTTTTTCCTGGGAAAAGGCCTCGAACACTTTTGGTCATTGGGTGTATCCTGCCCAGGGTGTTCAGTCTCTTCTCGATTACTTTTTCTGACCTAAAAACACCAACAGCGTCAACATTTTACATCTGCGTGTGTAAATCTTTTTTTCTTCATTTTTTTAACAAAAAACAATCGACATTTATATAAATACATATATACAAAAGTAATACGTTTCTACTTGTTTAGATTTGAATAGCCGAAGAGCACAGTGGTTCAGCATTTTGGAATGATCAAAATAAAATTCAGCCCCCTTTATGTATATGGTAAGTCTAGTTTAAAATAGTGAAAATTTCATATAAAGGTATAAATTCTTAGATTTATGCTATTTATTTTATTATTTTAAAAAATACCCTCGATACTTTACGATATTTTTTTCGTTTTAAATAGCTTTCTTTATATTTATAATTATGGAACAGTTCTCGCATAATTCAAATAATTTCAATTATGTTTCCTTATTACATTATTGTAGTAACTTGTAGAACAATAACTTAGGTTTTTGTATATATAATATATATTTTATCCTGTTTAAAGTTCCTTCCATTTAGTTTAATTAATAAGCATTTTCTTTGTGTGAGAAAATGTACATTCAATAACTCAACTTGGACATTATTTGAATAAAACATTTCAATGTATTTCAGATAGAAAATCTGAAATTCGGACCTGCTACCATTTTACAAATTTATTTGAACACAATTTTACCGATTGTGTTCATGAAAATATAGATTTCACCATAGGTTTGATAATTTATAATAAAATTAGCCTCTTTTTTTAAAAATATTTATTTTAACAGCTCTAAAAGAAATTTGTGGACTTAGGAAATCTGTTGAATCGGACTCGATCAATCCGCTTTGTACGAATTATGACGTCTGGTAAAATTGCCGATGCCAATGTTGATAGATAGAAAGGCCCTTGAAGGAAGAGCTACCATCATCCCAGGGGTTTTAATGAAAAGAATCACGAATTAATATTTCCATTGTTTGCCCGTTGTGTTTTCACACAGAAGTGTGTCCCGCCTTAACCTTTTCCGGGTCAAGGCCCAAAAAAGTCTCTTGCTTTGCACTTATACCAGACAGAGATACACGACAAAAGTTTCACTCCACGTGCAAAAAAAAGTCAAGTTTTGAATTATTTTGAACATCTTGGCACAAATGGAAAACCGCCCTTATAAACTGCTTCTTGCCATTTCAAAAATTTTGTTTTGCTTTGTTTGTCTATTTTTTGTTTTGAGCAGTTTATTTGTATGAAATTCGTTGGAGGATCAATTTCTTTTTAGAATAATTTTTAAAAATTTATATCGCAATTTTGATCGTTATTCAAAACATAATATGCCACACAACTTGTATGTTTTAACACATAAAATTAAAAATTATTATGTAGTGCTGAAGATTGGAATGTTGGTCGTTTTGAGATGGGCTTAGAAATCAGTGTAAGCCTTGACTTTGAGATTGGATGATTCGCCACAATTGCGGTCGAACTTTCACTCAACTGAAGCGTGCCTAAAGCTCTTAAGAAATCGATAGTTTTGAAATAAAATTAGGTTTCTAGAAGAGTTTGGCTGTTCTATAAATAAAGAAGACTTTTTTTTTTGTGTGTGTTTTTTTAACGAGGGTTCGCAACATCAGAGGTCATATAAACCCTCGGGGTGCCGGTGTTTTTGAAAAAAAAAAGCCCATTTGTAAGTATGTCGGGTTCGAATGTAGGGCCGCTGGATTCGAACCCGGGACCTTTACCTTACAGTGATGAGCGCCGTGTCAAAGACTAAACCTTGCGGCCACCGACGCCCCCCCTAAAAAAGAAGAAAACAGCCTAAAGCCTAAAGAAGACTTTGGGAGAGGCTTTTGACCCATTGTCGCTAGAATGACCGGAAATGATCTTGACCCATTGGCAATCGGTAAGAAAATTTTATGAAAACGCGAAGCAAGAGTCGATTTAGCAGTATTTAAATGGTGATTTTACGTGGTTTTCGTGAATTTTGCACCGAGGATAAATAAAAGTTGCGTAAATGAATAAAGAGAGCCCGTGTAAATTGTTTGATAGCCATCTTAATTTTTCCCACATGACAATCCAATCTCACCATTTTGACAAGGAAGGCAAGGTTCACGGCTCTGGAAGACAGCCACCTCAAAACAAAGGGAAATATGGAACGCCCTAATTAATTCGTGAACAATAAAAGGGCGATTTCGCTAACCGGCCTGAAAGAAAGTCTGCCGACGAAAGTCAGCAAAGCTCTTGTCACATCCTATTTGACATGCACTACGTTTCTAGGTTAATTATGACAATTATGATTTATGTGTTCCAATTAGTCCTTTTTTTAGAACACCTGTGGCGAGAGGGAGACAATGCAGTTTTTAAGAACAATGCCATTTCCTGGGTCAGCATCGCAGACTAATAGGAAGTGTCACTGTTGTTTATTAGTTCAGGTTTTGGTTGATTGACCACAAAATATACTTTTAGGACGTTTCATTGCCTAAAGCTCAAAACTGACAAAAACTGCTGGAACAGCTGTCAGCCTTTTAAAGCATGTTTGTTTTAATTAATCAATTGAACTATAATTAATCGATTGAATCTACAACTGTTTAATAAATAATTCGATTAAATATTAAAATAATTAACATTACTGAATATTTATTTAATTAATTTTACTCGATAAGAAACAGATTTTTTGATATTTTTGTCTCTAGAACACAAAGAAAAAAAATCTACCTTGTCTGTTTGTCCTCATCATAGCTGAATTTTAATAGCTCATTTGAAAATTATTCTTAGTGATTTTTTTAACTATATCGAAATATTTTCAATTCCGATCTATTTTATTTTAAAACAGGGTTTACATACTAGGACATATTTAATGTGAAGAGAGTATAGTCTGTTGTTTATGATTTCTTAAAACAAAATGCATGAATTTATTAATATAGCATATTTTAGTTTAGAGATATTTTCTTGTATATAAGAAGTTCGATTAAAATACAAAAAAAATAGACAAATTTTAATTTTTTTTTAACCAAAACCATCCAACACAAAGCTAAAACTTCAGTGAATATAAAAAAAATCCTCTTGGCATACACAACATATAGAAAGGATTCGACAAAGATTTACCTAACAAATGTAAAAAGTGCACTTACTCGTTATCCGATGGAGAGAATAATAATCCTTGGTGTTGTGTAAGGGTTCGAGTAAGGACTGAACGTGTAGGAGAGAAGGCGAAGGATGATATTGAGGGTGGCCCTCCCTACCAGATCCTCCATCCATCTCTCCCTCCACTCACACCCTGATTCACAAGTAAACCGAACAGCCATCTCTCACAGTATTCCATTGATGGATATGGAAAGTGACTATTTCCCCATTCAGGATCCATCCGGTTCGAAATATCGATCATTAAGATTTCTTTGTTAGCGATTATTATCGGGTCGTGGTGATAATTTAATGAAAAGGTAAACGATATCCAATTGTCATTTTTTTTATCAGTTACCTCTCATTAACTATTACGTTTCACTGCAAATTAAAATATACTTACATAAATACAAATTAATTATATGCTTACAATTGCATTATGTTATAAATTTCGTAATTCTTTAATCGTTCACTTTCATAATTGTTCATTGCTGGTTTGTTAATGGTTTGTTTTTGTTTATCATTATAAAAGCCTCGTTTTCGTATTTTTTTAAATATTTCTTTAACCTGAAAGTAAGAATCACGACAAAAAACATACTTTGGAACATAGAAACATGTGTAACTCAATTGAAACAATGAGAATTATGTAGAGAAAGCCCTGAACGAAACTTTCGATGTATATACAGTGGGTATCTGAAAATATGTTTTCTTCTTGGAACGAATAACTTTTTTTGGTAGAGGGTAATGTAAAAAAAAACACTTTATAGGGAATGAAAGATAATGGGTTGGTAATATTAAGCAAAAATAATAAATATAGACGTTCGAATAAATAACATTACGTAGATAACAAGAAATAAAAAATAATGATAGCAGTAAACAAATTTTGCCCTAAATATGACTAAAGATGATAACTTTTTAAGTGGAAATGAAACTAGACATTGGTTTTAGTAATAAGGTGGTATTTCGGATATTAGGTTTAAAAAAATGAAAAAAAGAGAAGAAGTTAGAAAGAGAAAAGACGTAAAGAAAAAGAATGAGACGTACTGACAGGCAGAGAGAGAGAGAGAGAGAGAGAGAGAGAGAGAGAGAGAGAGAGAGAGAGAGAGAGAGAGAGAGAGAGAGAGAGAGAGAGAGAGAGAGATACAGAGACGGAGAGAGATACTGAGCGATAAGAACGAAAGAGAAAAAGAAAATGAAAGAAAAAGAGAAGAACGAAATAACGAATGAGAATGTAAGAGAGAGAGAGACAGAGAGAGAGAGAGAGAGAGAGAGAGAGAGAGAGAGAGAAATTAACGATTTATTTATTAAAATTCACGCAAAAGTAGGTCTCTTGGACCTTAACGTGTAATTGCAATTATAATTTTTTTTTATAGTCGCACCAGACATAAAATAGAAATAATAAATTATCGTAAACTCAACAATGAAGTAAATGAATAAATCCGTTATATTTCGAGGTCCGATTGGCCAAATAAATTCTTTCAATTAATTAATCTTTAAGGTATTGGTTGAAATGAAAAAGCTAGTGTCTCGAGCGGGATTGAAAAATGGCAAAACGGAGGGAAAATTCGAAAGGTAGGTTGAAATGGGGAGTTGGTGTCCGAGTGGATCGAAGTCACCACAGGTCAAGTGGTCAGAGCACCGGCGTATTGAGCCGAAGTTCGTGGGTTCGAATCCCGCTCGTGACACTAGCTTTTTTATTTCAACCAATACCTTTTATAAAGATTGATTTAATTAAATGAAAAAAGTGGTAGTAAAGTGAACTTATAAGTTATATTTTTATACAGAGCATATTATTGTTGAGTAATAAAATTAGCTATAGATTTTTCGCAGGATTTTTACAAACTAGATTAGAACCTTCGAGAGTTGGAACATAATTTTACGATTTAAAAATAAAATAAAATACTAACAAAATGATTATTAACATTTTACAAGATAATGTAAAAGTATATAATAAAAAAAGTAATAAATAAAGGTATGTGATGTTAACTACATAAATATTAAATAAGGTAAACGCTGTAGTATTTATTCATTTACTTAACAAGTATTCTTTATGTTTTACTTTGAATGATTTTATGCGTTTTATTTGAACTGTATGTTTCGGTATTGAGTTGAAGATTTTTGAAGCTTTTATTTTAAATTAATTGCTAAGTGTTTTGGTAGATGAATTAAGTAATTAGCTGTTCTGATATTAATGTTATGGATATTGCATTGAAATTTAAAATTATGAAACATGTAGGAAGGGTTATCAGTTTGTAGTATTTTGTATAAAAAGGTTGCTATGGAATAGATTTGTAGGTATTTAATTTTTGACATTTTTAATATAAAAAATTCATCATATATTCTAGAATCAGATTTTAGGTTAAGAATATAACGGATGCAAGTATTTTGCGCTTTTTGAAGTTTCTTTTGTAAAGTATAGTTCAGATCATTGATGACGACTACGTTGTAATAAATGTATGCCATTACTAAAGACTTAATTAGTTTTAAGGTGACATCAGGTTTTATGAAAGTTAATAATGTTTTATAGCGTACATATATGTGTATATTTTTTTAAGTATTTTATCATTTGTATATTTGTGGTTCCCATGATAGAGTATGAGTTATAATGAAACCAAGATAATAAACACTATTTTCAAAAGGAAGGTTTATACTATCAGAGTGATAAATTATAATGGCCTTTTTAGTGCAGTTTTAATTTTTAGGCCATGTGAAATTCCCAGTTGATTACATGTTTTAAGTCATCATTAATTTTAATTCACTCGTTTTCGTGGTCCGCTTGACCAATTAATATATTTCAATTAATTAAGGTTTTTAGTTGAGATAAAAAAGTCAGTGTCACGAACTGGATTCGAACCCACGACCTTCGGCTAGATACGCCGCTGCTCTACCACTTGAGCTATCGTGACTTCGATTCACTCAGACACTAAAAAGGAGGGAAAATTCAAAAGGTGGGGTTTAGATGGAAGTTAGTGTCCAAGTGGGTCGAAGTCACGATAGCTCAAGTGGTAGAGTAGCGGCGTATCTAGCCGAAGGTCGTGGGTTCGAATTCCGTTCGTGACACAGACTTTCTTATCTCAACTAAAAACCTTAAGTAATTGAGTAATTTTAATAATATTAGTATTAATATTTTGAATTTAGTTTTGATGTAGATACCTAAATCATCTACATCAATTGAGTAATTACAGTGCTAGAAGAGAAAAAGAAAAGAGAGAAGAACGAAATTACGGTTGAGAATGTAAGAGAGAGAGAGAGAGAGAGAGAGAGAGAGAGAGAGTGAGAGAGTGAAGGAGAGGGAGAGGGAGAGCGAGAGAAAGAGAGAGAGAGAGAGAGAGTGAGAGAGACAAATATAATTGTCAAGCTTTTTATACGATTGGATATAATATTTTCATGCCAGTTTAAGCCAAATGTATGAATACATTACACTGTATTTACACGAAAAGAAACATTAAAGAATGTTAATGTTTAAAAATTTAAGAATGTTTGTATTTAATACTCCTCAAGGGAAATATATGAGATTTCAGGAATATTATTGTGTTAAAACATACATTTTGGTTTGGTTCAGAGCATACAAGAATACTGTAGCTTGTTTGGCTTCCCTGGCGCATTCAATCTAAGATTAATCTAATTAAAGGTGTTCACAGAAAATTTATTCAACACCTGATTTACAAGTTAGGACTTGAATGGAAAAATAACGAGTATGTTGAATGTGGTTGAAACTGTGCAAAATGTTCTCCCTTTTTTAGTATCGCACTCTGTTGATGGGGGCGTTTCTTGAGGAAGGTGATAAACGGCCATTACTCCTGTCCACAACTTCTCAGTCGGGCAAGTCTTCATGATTTCACAGTTGTCGCCAACATCACAGTTTCCTAGAAATAATTACGGGAAATTTGGTACAATTTTGTACCTTTAAAAGATCTTTAACGAAATATGTGATTAATTCATAACTGATTCACGATGTGATCATAATTTGGATATATTTGAATCCTCTTTGAATGTATTCAAAAACGAAATACGTATATGCTTGTCCTCATGATTTATAATTAGTTTATTAATTTTGTTACTCTGAAAACTATTTGTATGTCTTAATTTTAAATATTGTAATATGACCGAATTGATTAGAAATCTCATCCTCCTGTAATGTACTAAATTGTACTAAACAAGCAAATAAATGAAATCAATATTATTAATACCGGGAAGTATCGCTTTCATTTTCTATACATGAAAGGACAAATTCGGCCTTCTGGCAACTTACATACTTTCTGCAACCAAATTCATCTTCCTTACACGTATACCAGTTTTTAATTCGGCAAACGGGACTTGGAGGTAAACCTGGTGGTCGTGCATACATCAAATGTTTAAAATATATGAAGAAGATGTCTTACATAGATTGAAAATGAAAGAGAACCTAAGACAGAGCCCTGGGGGAATCTAGACTTAACAAGTACCCAAGAAGTTGTCTTCCCATTTTCGTCAATCAACCTTGCTTTCTCTCAACATGATGATGGTATGATTGAAACAATTTTATAATATTAGTCGAACAATCTAACAGTTTCAAGATATGTAGGAGTAAAACTCAAATAAAATTAAAACGGTAATCATATTTATCAATAGCCCAATGTACATGAGAGTACTGACATTTTTGCCATAACCTGATTCAAAGGGATCTAACAAATCATGCTTATCAAGATTTTATTTGATCAAGAAAAATTAATTTTATTTTAAGTAAAACACATAAACTGAGTAAATTGTAAGATAGATAGAGAGAAAAAGGGGGATTGAGGGTGAGAACGAGAACAGGAAAGAGAAAGAAAGATAAGGACCAAAGAAAGTGAGAGAAAGAGAAAGAGAAAGAGATAACGAGAGAGAAGAACGAAAGAAATTAAGAGAGAGAGTGAGAGAGAGAAAGAGAAAAAAATAGAGAGATAGGAACGAACGGGAATATGAAAAGAGAAAGAAAGGGAGAAAGAAAAGAGAACGAAAGAATGAGAGAGCGTGAGAGAGAGTAAGTGAAAGGTAGAAGAACGAACGTGCGAAAGAAAATGAGAAAGAGAGAGAGAAGAAGAAATAGAGAAATAGG